TGATTGCACAAAGAAATGACTGACTGAATGGCTGTTTCTTTCTCTTTCATGATCAGTCCTATGCTGGCTACTATGCTTGTACATGCATTTCCACACAGGTGCACAGGTTGTGGGCATACAGAGGGCACAACCCTCTCTCCCCTGACCATGTGATCCTTTGCATTAAAGCATCCACACTCCATGTGAAACCCCCTTGCCATTCCCCTAAGCCCTGGTGAAATCTTAGAAGTTGCATTTTCTTGCTTGTGTTAAAGTTTCAGGCTTACTTCCTTCATTCTTGGAAAACATTGTAGTCATGGTGGAAAAGGTGTTGGAGTCTAGAGACTTGAGTACCACCAGCTGTGCTTGCAGAGTGGCCCTGCTTACATTACGTGACCTCTCTGCTTTCCACTTGGGATGGTTTTCAAGAGCATTGAAATATAGCACACATTTTTGTAGGCTGGTGTTGAAATGATTGCAATTATTCCCGCTGTGTATTGGTGATGTAACAACTCAAAATCATCAATTGCTGTTAACACTACTGCCATGCTTACTATATGCAAGGCAACTATTCCAAATGCTATCTTGTTCAATACACACACACACACACACACACACACACACTATTATCATCTCCATTTTGCAGATGAGGAGAGTGAGGCTCAGAGTGCTTAAGTAACTTGCGCAAGGTCCTACAACTAGTAAATGGCAAAGCTAGGATCCAAACCCACAAGCACTCTGGAGTCCAAACTTACTTTAAATGGAAGATAATTACGGAGACCATGACCTAGCGATCAATACATTTAAATACCTTCCACTGAAGGTCACCAAACCTCTCCTCTTATCCAAAGACTTTGGGCTGGCTCTGGTTTGGATGAACACATAAATCATTCTAGACAAAAGTATTCCACGAACTACCATGGATGTATGTTACTATGTGCTCTGATGATCAAGCAAAGGGTTGCCCTCTCCACCTCTTGTAGCCTGCTAGGACACCGTGCCATATCGTCCTTGGAATCTTCCAAGTTCTTTTTTTTTTTTCTTCCAAGTTCTTGATTAAAGAAATCCAGTATACGTATCCATGGTTCTTCAGACTCTAAGCTCCCATGCTGAGGGCTCATCTCTCTGTAAGCCTGTGTGGGGGTCTCCTTGGCATTCCACTCATGAGAATGTTAAAGAGACCCTCGAAGGGGATTTGAAGCTGAAATAAGGACACACCATCACCAGAGGGAGAAAGTAATGAGAAACTGGGAAGAGCTGACCGTGACAAATTGCAGGATCAAATGAGCAGGATTGTTGTTGATGGAGAATCTGCTTATGCCTCAGACGATTGCTCTAGCTGAGTCATAAACACCAGTATGGCTTCCAACCAGAAAAGTTTCACATCCAGCTCACCAATGATTCCCAAACTCTCTCTCCAACCCCTGATTACAGTTGTGCCCTCCATTCTGAAGCTTTAATTTTTCGGAAGATGCAAAAGCGGTCCTCGTACTTTAGAAGTGCTGCCTTAAGCACCAGATTAACCAAAGGCGAAAGGTTACCGAGGATAGAGAGCAGTTTTCTTCATTTGCACATCGCTAACAATTTGCCTATTTGCCTGTCATCGTGACAAGCAAAAATTTAGCTTTTCCAAGTATCTTTGAATCCTTACATCCATTTCCTTCTGGGGACAAAAGATCAGGCCTGATATCTAGATTCTCTTTTTTAGGTTGGCATTTGTGCACTTGAACTGTGGGAGAAAGTGGTGCTCTGGTCAAGCCAGGTCCTGACAAACCTGCCCTCAGCTTTCCAGGGGGGACCACAGAAGCATCATCACGCATGTCATTAAGGGAGGGGGTCAGAAGGCATTTGGTGCAGCCCTTGCCACTGGGCTTTTTGTTGGTTTTGCTTGCTTGTCTTTATCCCTCACTACACATTGATCACTTCAGAGAACCGAGCTGGATGGAACTCCAATTAGTTCCCTCAAGAGGATCCAAGTGGCCTGTCCTACAAAGATGCTGCCAAGACCTCTCTCTGCCCCTCTTCTACTTGCTGTGCTCATTCCTAGTGTGTCTCCTGGAGGGCCCGGAAGTTCTGGGAGGGCAGGAAAGTCTCTTCACACAGATCTCTGGGGTTCTCACTGCATCCCTGTGCTGTGAACATGTTTTTGTTTCTTCAGTAAGAAACAGGGCAACATATATTATGTTCTTTTTAAAAAGCATGTACTGGGACACCTGGGTGGCCCAGCGGTTGAGCATCTGCCTTCAGTCCAGGGTATGATCCCGGAGACCCAGGACTGAGTTCCACATCCGGCTCCCTGCATGGAGCCTGCTTCTCCCTCTGCCTGTGTCTCTGCCTCTCTCCGTATCTCTAAGGAATAAATAAATACAATCTTTTAAAAAAAATAAAAAAATGAAAAGCATGTATTGCTGAATTTGTGCTCATTATCGAACATTTAGGAAACACAAGAAAGAATCAAAAGGAAAAAGATGTCACCCATAATTATTGTGGCATATTTCTTTGCAGGATTTTTCTTCTTGTGTGCTTAATATCTGGTAGCCTGTTTTTAGTTAACATAACATCATAAATGTTTTCTTTCACTATTTATTCCCATATCTGTTGAGCGCCTAGTAAGGACTGTATTAGGCCCGTCAGGTACTTGAGCTGAGCTTTAGCATGAAGGAGTATTTCCAAGTACAGAGGCAGGGGACAGGTAATTAAGGCAGAGGATCACCAATACCATGTTGCACTGTTATGAAGAATGAGTTTAGGACTAATGAGAGCAGCCAAGAATGGCACTATAACAGAAATTTGCACCTACATCTAGTTTCTTAGAATGAGCCTGCCAGAGATGCTTACTTACCAGAGAGTTTCCAGGATTTGTCAGAATTCCCAGAAAAAGCCAAAATTGTATTCATGCTTCTATGTTTTTTTTTATTCAAGATTTTATTTAATTATTTCTGAGAGACACACAGAGAGAAGCAGAGACTTAGGCAGAGGGAGAAGCAGGCTCCCTGTGGGGAGCCCAATGATGCCAGGATCCCAGGATCACACCCTGAGCTGAAGGCAGACGCTCAGTCACTGAGCCACCCAGGAGTCCCTTCATCTATGTTTTTGAAGTGAGGATTATATGGAACTATTTGGGGCCTATTGTCAACTGATCAGAATGGACACTGGATGTGCTGTTGGAGCCCAGTCTACAGGTGCCCATGGGGCTGTACCATAACTTTGACCCCTTTTGTGGGCTGATCATAAGGAAGTCTGGGAGTCCCAGGGAGAGACTGTATGCCCAGGACTCCGGTAGGAACACTCAAGGGCTCAAGGACATGATTGTTCACCAACTGGCACATTAGTGTTTCAATGTTTTAAGAAACACACACTGTATGTACAAGCGCATCCTGGCGGCCAGACTGACCTGGAGAGCAGCTTCTCTCAAGTTGCTGACATGCACTTTTCGATGTCAGCGGTCCTGCCGCCTCTGACACAAGAGCCATGGTTTGCCATCCTTTGAATTTGAGCTGGAGGAGTGTGATTTGGGGCAGAAGGCAGAGAGAGGGTTTCAGACCCAGCCCGTAGAGGGCAAGCTGTGGCTGGCTTGGCTACCCTCTTTCCTCAAACACCTGCTGGAAAATCTTCTCCATCCCAAGCTTACACAGAGTGATCACCTCTCCACCCATGTTCACTCAACATGGCTGAGGTCCTCAGAATAGCACAGAGCTCCATAACGGAGGAAGGCATCCCCCAGGAGTGAAGAATACACAAAGTCAAGCAGGGACATGAGTCCTGAACGTCCACTAGCAACAATGGCCACATCTCCCAGGAGGACTCTCCTGCTGACAGCCAGCTCCAATGTCCCATTCCAGGACACATTCTTTCTGCGTAAATGCAGGCACAATATTCTCAGATTCCTGGAGTGAGAACCACAGCACTCTCCCATAATTGCAGCTTCCCTACCGATTTAAGTGAGGGGAAATCTGGGCCTGAAACACAGAAATTTTCCAACCAACTCATCAGTTATTGAGCTGGGGATTATTGGGGCAGGCCTTGGCCTAGGACTTTATATGAATGGTGTCCTGTTATCCTCACAGCACCCTTATGACATAGACATCATCCCTATGTTACTAATGATAAAAAAAAAAATAGGGCTTCCTTAGGTAGTAAGGAAGTCTGTGGATCCTGAAGAGCTCAGAGTTTAACTTGCTCAAGGACACACAATTAATACTCAGCTGAGCTGGGGCTTGAACCTAGATGTGTAAACCACCACCCCTGCTCTCTTAGGTCTTACAGAAAGCAGCATGAGGAAGAATGTGGCAGGGTCGGGACACATGGGGAGGACAAAAGCACTGGGAAGCAGTGTTGGGAGCAAATATTCAACACTCCCCACCTCCTCCCCCAGGGTTACTTTTTCCCAAACTGCCCACAAGTATACAAACATGGAAATATGGAAACCTGTAACAATAGTCATTGGTAAGAATCATCTGACTCTTTATACTGACGATGTAACTAAGAAGATGCACCTGGATGCTCTAGAAAGGTTGAATAGAGGTGTCGAACCAGAAGAGCTGGTGACTGGGAGATGGAGCATTACCTTTGTGGGAGCAGTCACCACTCGGGTAAACGGTTGGCCACCTCGTGCCATGGGACTTCCACACACAAGGACAGGTACCTAGAGGGAGCAGCGTGGCATAGCAGGCAGGAAGGTAGGTGTTGGGACTGTCTCTGCCAGACACTGGCTCTGCGATCTTTAGCCAGTTTCTTAGCTTTTCTGCGTATAAAAAGGTCATACCTCTCAGCGCTGTTGTGAAATTAAATAAGATCATGTTTGCAAAGTACTTAGCCTGGCATCTGGCACAGAGTGAATCCCTTAATAAAGAATTATTAGCATGAAATTGCCTTCCTGCAAATTATTTTATCACAAATTCATGGAATAATTTCCTTCCTGCAAACTTATGGACTTTAAAAAAAAAATCCTAACTTCAGAAAAGACATAGAAAGAAGAGATGAGACACAAGCTGTAATGTTGTCTGACTTTGTTTTTATAGGAGGCATGGAAACCTACCCTAGAGAAGGCGAGACAGATCGTGAAGAAATCCCCAAGTCTGGTAAGCAACTGATGAGAAGGATACCAGTGTTCTGCTTGATGCATTCATCTTTCCCTTCCCCTGCTTTCACGCCCCTAAGGCCAGAGGCTACTCCAAGATCCAGGCCCACAACACACCACAGCTACAGTGAAGTTAAGTAGGGAGATGAGCCCCTCCTTCCTTTGTCTCCTCCCTCTCTCAACAGCCGTGTTTCTCAAACTGGGCACTACTGACACTTGGGGCTAGTTACTCCGTGGTTGTGGCCATTGCCCTGTGCATTGTAGGGTGCATAGCAGCATCCCTGTCCTCTACCCACTAGACACCAGCAGCCATGTCACCCTTCCCCAGTCATAACAACCAAAAATGTCTCCTGATGTTGCCAAATGTCCTCTGGCGCTCACAGTTGAGGATTGCTACTCTCCAGTAGACCACATTGGAGAAGGCTCTATCCTTCTGCCGCTCCACTTTCTGAACATGTGACCTCAAGCTGAGCCTCAGTTTTCCTGTCAGCAGGATAGGGATAGAGACAGTGGTAGTAGTGTTCCTTTGTCAAAGCACAGGTGTGAGGACCAAGAGAATTGATGTGTGTCAAGGGTTGGTATCATGCCTGGAATTATCCAGAACTCAATCAATACCACGTTTCATTCCAATCATTTATCATGGAGTCAAGTATTTGACATAGGCCCTTGGGTGCAAATGAGTCGCAACTGAAAAGGAAGCAGAAAAGTAAACCTTCAAAGAACCAAGTCTCCCTCGAGGCTCAAGATCCCGGCAGTAAGGCAGCGTTCATCAGAGATGAGAGGGCCTGGCCCTTGTCCTTGGCTCCTCCCCTATCACCCTGCTCATCCTTCACCCTGACGCAGTACATTTAAGGTAGTATTGATTTGGCAGAACAGAAATAAGGAGGAGGAAAAGCCCTCGTGGCTCAGCTTGCCAGATTTAGCAAATAAAAATAGAGGATACCAGTTAAATTTGAATTTCAGATAAAAAACGAATAAATTTTTAGTGTAAGTATGTTCAGTGCAATATTTGACCTGGCAACCTTGCTCATGGGGGCCATATGGGTTTGGATGTACAAAGCCGGGATGTGGTAAACGGTAATATCCAGGCGTTTTTACGCAATCAATTAATCATCACAATGTCTGTGTTGCCAACCATCGTTTAATCCAGTGAGTAATTAAGGACCAACGGTAGCAGTTTAGCTAATCTGCATAAGCCATTGAACAAGAAACTGAAACACCATGTGAAACCCTTGACCACTTTCAGAACTCAAAACTAGAGAACAACACAATTCTTCTTTCCTTCTCGACTTGCATCCAAAACTTATTCTCAGAGCACGGTTAACTTCACGAGCACCAACTACCTTGGCATTAACTCAAGAGCTAATTAGGATTTTACAATTTTTCATTTCTGTCATCAGATTTGCAAGCATAATTCATGGGGCATGGTTCCAATAATTCCTTGTGAGAAGCCAAAAAAAAAAAAAATCTACTGAACAACAATACAAAACTCCTCAAAAACCTCCTCCAATTTATATACTCACTAGATTAAAGCCATCAAGGAAAAAGTAATCATAAAGTGCAAGTAAATGTCTCTGAATTACTGCTTCGATGATATTGGCTGCAATGAATTCCACTGGGATAACTGATAGAACTGCAGACCTAGCCAGGATGCAGAAGGAAGCACACAGTAGGTTGCATTTCAACACAGCTTGTTGGACCAGGGGAAAGTATTGTCAAAAGGAATGTTCCAGAAAATATCTGCATCTCTGTGAGGTGCTGAGAGGTTCTTCATGGATCTAGCAGAAAACAGCATCTAAGGGCTTAGAGTACCTGAGTTGTGGAATCTATTTACTTAAATCTCATAAAAACTCATATAAAATAGTATACTGTTGATATCAACCCCATTTTACGGATTAGAGGACTAAGGATCAGATATGTTAAGTCATCTGTTCATTCCACGTAACTAGTGAAAAACCCATCATTTAAATCCAGATTTAACTACTTCCAAGTTCCTACCTTCTCCACTATGCCAATAGCTCTCAACCAGCCTCCTCAGTACTAGATTTCAGGAAGCTCCATCCACATCACAGGCCATGCAGATTAAAAGTATGCAGTGCACGACCTGTGCAACTGTAAATGACATCCCTGATCAAAAATCTACCTACTTAATAGAATCATCTTCCCCAGTGCAATTAAACCCAGGTAAAATAACACATAGCAAGGGCTGAAAAGCCCTTCACCATGCAGAAATCCAACTTCAGTTTGCCTGTGTATGGAAGAGTAGTTGTTCTCTCCCCTTTGTTGACCTTCTGTTTACCCCCGTCACCACATTTTTCTTTATTCAACCCCTGTGTATTGTTCTGTTCTCACTTAACATCCTGGTGTGGGAAAGCTCAGGGTACACGCGGAAACTGGCTCACATAGCTCGCTAAATGAAGATGCTGCGTGACTCCTGCGCCCGGGGACAGCCCAGATTGAGACTTTTCATTTAAATGGGATTACATGCGGCCACGTGCAATATTTTAAAACCATTGCTGAATCACTAACAGCCTACATGGTGCCTCTGCCTAGCAAAGTCCAAAGTGAGAGGGAGGGGCCGGCAAACTGCAAGGCAGGATCTGCCGCATGGCTCTGTGTCTGCCTCACTTCTCTTTGCGAGTAAATGATAAGAGGTTAGTCTTCCCCACGCCATGTGATCAAGGGACTGGATAGTTCAAACCTCTGTCTCAACAAGAAGAGTTCAGGGTGGGGGCAGGGGGTGGCCCCTGGGCAAGCTTCATCATCCACTGTCCACACCGGAAACCCCATCTCTGCACGGCGGATGTCTGAGGCAGCCGCGGCCTTCTGCTGGATTCCGACGGTGAACAGCTGTGCAACTGTAACATTTGATTCTTCTGTTGCTCTTGTGCAGTAATTAGAAGGCTGCCCATATGCATTTTTTGACGTATTATTGGTTGCATCAGTATTAAAATCTACCTGGTGGTTAAGTAGACCAAGGCCTTGGGATTCAAGTATTAAAAGACGTGGCTCAAACATTCACATGCAACCCGACTTTGAACTCTGAGTCTCAGAATGCGTCTGTATTTCCAAACTGCCACCAATGTCACGGTATAATCTCACGCCAGCATTTGTCTTACGGTATGTCTGTGGTGCGCATCTCAATCAGTTACCAGGTCTCTGGACTCAACCTTCGAAACACTCCTCCTTTTCACCACCCTCCTCCTCCCACCCGCCTTACAACAGTGGTTCCCAGCCAGTGGCAACTGTGTCCTCTCCACCCCCCTGCCCCCCCACCCCGAGGACATTTAGCAACGTCTGGTGACATTTGGGGGCTGCTTGCATCTGAGTGGCCAGACGCCAGATATCCTGTTAAACATCCTACAAGGCACGGGACAGCCCCGCAACAAAGAGTTATTCAGCCCAAAATAGCAGTAGTGCTAAGACTAGAAACACCAGGGTGAGGTCTCAGGGTCTCTATCTGCCCCAGCTCACCTCCTCTAGGCCATCCTCTTGTCCCCAGAGATACCTTTATGAAATATAAATGTGATCCCTCTGCTTAATACTTTCCGGAATCCCCCACAGGATAGCACACAGTGCAGCATCCTAGGCTTGTCATGAGATCTTCATCCCTCTGTGGTTCACCACATCCTTGTGTTTTGTTTTTTTTTTACACCCTAGCCAGGGTGAAACATTCGGTGGCCTGCTGAGGTGCCACACCAGCACGTACTCCCACAGCACCCCCTGGGATACTCCCTCGTACCGGGGCCATGCTGCTCCTGCTTCAGCGATCAATCCAATAACCTGGGACCTTGATAAGGTGTAGACTCTGATTCAGCAGATGTGGGCCCAAGACTCCACATTTCTGAAAGTCCCCAGATAACATCCATTCTCCTGGTGCATGATCCCGCTTTCATCAGCTAGGGCCTAGGGCAGTGGTTCTCAAACTTCAGGAAGCGTCAGAATGACCTGGAGGCTCTGAAAACACTGATTCCTGGGACCCACCCCAGGCTTTCCAATTCAGTAGACCAGGGTAGGACTCACAAACTGCCCCTGTAGCAAGTCTGTGGACCACACTTGGGATCGTAAAGCCTAGAACATGTCTCTTCCTTCCCAACAGCATCCTTCCTACCTGACTTATGGCTCATCTCCTCTGGGTTCATAGATCGCTGTGCCAATGCCAGGACCCCAACAGACCTCACAAGGCATGCTAAGAGCGGAGATACTCACCCCTATGCTCCAGTAGACAGTATGCTTGATGAGGACAAGGACAGCTTCTTCTGTCTCCATGCCTTGCACATGGATGGGGGCACCAATCAGGATTGTTCCCCTCATCCTAGAAAGTTGAGCAAACATGTGCTTTAAAAACTTCATTTATGGCTTGGAAAGAAGTTGCCTTGTCCTCCTCTTTCAGGGTCAATGTATCGCCAGAGTCATTGATACAACTCGTAGCCCTCCGAAGGACTCTTTGGGCTGGCAAAAATCACTCATCTCTCCCCACTCACTGATAAATGCTAGTTCCTGACTTTTTCTATGCTGTTGTCTTTTTCTTTCATCTGAGGAAAACATCCTGGAAACCACAATCGTTGTAAAAGTACCTCTTAGTAAAAAGCCAGGGCTTTTCATTGGTCACATAGCTAGAATCCTAGGGAAACTGCTACCTAAAATCTCTTGCTCATGAAGCTTGAGGAGCTTCATGTATACACCTCCACCTGCCCACACGGCACCCCTCCGGGAAAGGGGACTTCCTTCTTCCTTCTCCCCAGGCCCTGACCATGTCTCTCCTGTGAGTCTTGATATTCTCAGATTGGCTGGGATTTTCCATTTGAAAATATTCTTTATTTCACAGCCTTTCTCAAAGCCCTCGAGTACAAGGAGGGAGAGGAATGTTGTTGCCCAAGTGCAACAGACCATGGTGGGGCAGACCTTTTGGGGAAGAGGTGGAGCATGGTTGAAGGTGGGGATAGCTGGCTGTGTGGGGAAGAGGGAACCTTCAGGCTGAGACCCCAATGAGAACAGAGGCACAGGGCAGACTGAGTATGGAGTATAGGGACAGAAACAAGAGGTAAATGTAGTTAAATAAGATGGCCCAGGATCTGAAGGAAAGAGGCTCCCGAAATCCAGACTATGGAGCCAGCAGGAGAAGAAGGGCCTTTACAAGTTTGCAGGCAGTTGAACTAAACAACTCTTTTTGTTATTTTTTTTTCCTCTCCAGAAACACTCCAGAAGTAGTTCTGATATTTGTTCCCTCCCATTTTTGGCCAGGATCTGTCAGAGGATTAAATCGTACGTATACCGTTTCTACCTCCCTGAGTATTGGCGTGAGATGGCGCCGTTGGCTGTCCCTGTTTTCCAATGACTAAAATGATCCTCAAATGTAAAAGGCACCTTTCTAAAGATGAAAGTGTTTGCTGCTCATGACTTGTACAGAAACTGAAAGACAAATGAACTCTGAACAAATCATTTTGGAAATCCGCTGCATCCCAGTATCTTTGAACCTCAAAGCCTGACTTATACCCTGGGCTGGAACACAACCTGCCCATGAAGCTTCTGGGAAGCTTGGTGTACACCCCTGCCTCTCAAGGGAACAGCCCCTCTTTGCTGCATAAGACACAGAAAAGGCCGAGGTTGGCACCACAACAGGGAAGGGACTCTGAGCATCTTTAGTGCAAGGCACTCACGAGGCTGGAAAGGGACCATTTTTTTCACAGAGCCCAACCCATTACCTAAAAATTCTGGCTCAGATATGAATGAATAGTATGGCCAATAAGGAGACACTGTCCCAAATTCCCATGACCTCTTGTCTCTGTTTACAATCCCACACCCCAGCTCTACTCAGAGTCTGAGATTATGCTGGGTGTCATCATAATCACTATCTATAGCATTAAAAGATGCATTAAAGATGCGTTAAAATATGCATAAAAGATGCTAAGAGGGACGTTGGGCCAAGACACAAAATAGCACAGGCTCTGCTTTGCGCTTGGCTGCTTCCCGTGTGACTGTGGCTGCTGTCACATAGTGTAGGACCGCTGCTGTGGGTGCCACACGTGGAACGTGCAAACCTGTCTGCTTTAATTCTCACCACAACTCCATGAAGGAGGGATTGTTATTATTCCATTTCATGGTCAAGGACAATGAGTCTTAAAGAAATAAATTCTCCCGGCCACCAGATGAACCTGGTCGGTCTAGCTCCCTTGTGAGGGCTTGGGGGCGGGGGAGGGTGAACAGGCTGTGCATCTGGATTGAGAGGCTGTATTGGTTTCTGAGGGTGGCTGTAATGATAAATCTACAAATTGGGTGGCTTAGAACAACAGAAATGTGTCCTCTCCCAGTTCTGGAGGCTGGAGGTCTGAAAGCAAGGTGCTGGGGGTGGGGGGTGGTTTCTTCCAAGGCTTTGCTTTCTCTGAGGTGTTCTCTGACACTAGGGGAAGTCTTTCCTTGCCTCTTGGCTTCTGGCAGCAGCCAGCAGCCCTTGCTGTTCCTTGGCTTGCAGGTGCAACACTCCAGTCTCTGCCTCCAGCCTCGTGCATGGCCATCCTCCCTATGTGTCCGTCTTTTCCTTTTATAACAACACCACTCATCTTGGATCAGGGCCCAGTCTAATGGCCTTATCCTAACTTTATAACATCTGCAAAGATCTTATTTCCAAAAAAGGTCACATTCAAAGGGCCTGGGGGTTAGAACTTCCACATGACTTTTTATGAACACAATTCAACTCATAAAGAGAGGCACTTTTCCCACATTCCTCCGTCCTTCGTCTCACGAGTTTCCCGGGAGCTAAATCCACTCAACATCTCCTGTCTGCTAGGAAAGCTTCTCAGGAGAGGAGGAGACTACATTCTGACCTACCTTCAAAGCCTCTTGGAGATCCAAGAGTTTAAAAACTTTTCCTGGTTCATCTGCCCACGTGAACTCCAGCAAGTCGGCTGTGCAAAGTGCTGGCCTGGGTCCCAGAAACAGGATCAACACCGCTTTTCATGAATAGGGCTGGACACAGAGAGCTCCAGGACATGGAGAGCAGAGGGGGAAATAAGACACATGAAAGAAGATGCTGGAAGGCTGAGATACAGGCAGCTCCCCAGGCCCCCAATCATTTCATCATGCCTAGCTCTTACTGAATTGAGACACCTGTCCCCTCCTTGCGGAAAGCATCATTGCATTTTCTATGTCAAACATGGGCCAGCAGGACCCAAAGTGACAACTCTTCAATTGAACCACCTTTGAAAAATTGAATTCAGAGCATCTGTGACCAGGGATTTTCCTGGCTCTATTTAAAAGGGAAATTTTTCTTTTATGAGAAAGCAAAAGCAGTGCGGTTTTTCTTCTTTCTAAAAATCATTGGGCTTTGAGTATAATTTGCACCTGATCACAATTTATTCAGTGCTTTGTGATTTACAAAGCACATTTAAATGCGGCCTCATTAATTCTTCAAAACAACCTGTGGCTCAGTAATAATAACAATAACTAAAAGGTGTCTGGGAAGGTCTCTGCACCAGGAACTCTTGCCAATGCAACCTATGATGCAAATTGCATTTTGCCCCCTTTCTAAAGAAGTAAAGTCTTTTTTTGCCCAAGGCCATGGTGCTAGTAATAGATAAATCTGACATTTGAACCCAGAAGCCTGGTTGTAAAAGTCAGGCTTAGAGCCACTCAATTGTCTGGTCCTTGACTCTTAGCCCCACTTTTAGATGAGCAAGTAGATTCTAGCACATTGAGTGTCTGACCCACTAAGCACAGTCACCAGGTGGTAGAGACAAGACCTTTGTGTCTCCTATTACATAATCCTTCAATAAAATCCCTTCCAGTAGGAATGCCTTTCCTGTTCTGTCCCTCTCCTGCCATATCCTGTTTGGTCTAATGCCTTCAAAATACAGTGTAAGTGTCCCCACAGTGGGCAGTAGCTCCCCACCACCAGGCATTTGGCTAGCGCCCCCACACCCCAAGCTCACTGGTGCCTTCTCCTGCACCCTGTTCTTCTACTGCTTCTCCCCATCAGGCTCACATGCCACCCATCACTCTTGGAGAATGGGGACACCATTTCTTAGTGGTGTCCCCTTTTATCCTTGTACTTAACACATTGCTTCCAATTAGTAGGGACTCAATGAAGAAACAAGGGAATAAATAAAGAAAAGGCACTATTTTACTAGAAAAAAAAATGGGTAGGATACCATGCTACTACCATAGGGCAATCAAGTTTTTTGTTCTTTTTTATTCTGTTCTGGTCAGAATTCACAATGCCTTGGCACCATTTTTTATTGTAACAATGGGAAGTGAGGAGAGTCCCCTCTTAATACACTCTTCTTTTTATTTAGTTTCCATATGCATAAATCCACATATGGATCCTTTCACATGAAGGCATGCAGACTATCCCATCCTACATTAGTCACCTTTAATTCATCATTCTTTCCCTTTCCTTTTTTTGCTTGTTCCTTCTTCCCCATGACCTACTCCTTCCAACCATGTTGGTCCCTGTCCCTGCCACCAACGTGAGCCCTGTTGTTATTCTTTCCTGGTTTTCTCTGCTCTCATTGCATCTTATAGAGATGTATCTAACACATACATCTATGCATATGAAACAGACCCATTCCCAGCCCTGGAGTGCTGCCTGGGACTCAAAAGTGAGAGCTACACTTGGAAACTTTTCTCCCTAGTTTTCTTTTGTTGTAATGCCCCAGTTTCATGAAATAATTTTAGGGAGTTTGAACTTGAATAGCTATTCTATTATGTAACGAATAACATTCACCTGCAATTACAATTGCTCACTGGATCAAGCCTGCCACCTCAACAACTGGCAGTAATAGAGCAATGGCTCTATTGGAAATATATCTTATTTTCATCCCTGAGCAGGTGATTAACTGCCCCAGCCAATAAGATAACTGAGTAGAACATTGTGTGCCTGGAAATTCAAAAGTCTGAAGAGGGTCCATGGTTTGGGTTTGGGATGCCTCCAGAAGTAAAATATCATAGGAGCAGATACCTGACTCCTATTTGCCCAGCCCTAAAAACCATCCTTGGAATAACTGTTACCATGGAACAAAATAGTAAAAAAGAGCTCGTCTTTTGTGGGTGTCTACCACATGCTTGGCACAGGTCTTAATGCTTCTCTTGGAACAAACCACTGGCCTTTGCAAGAGCCCTAGGAAACAAGTAGTGATATTGCCCCCATTTTACAAATGAGGAAACAGAGATACAAAAGATGGAATAATCTCCCTAAGGTTATAGAGCCAGTAGACAGCACACCTGGAATTCAAACCTAGAGAGTCTAATTTCAAACCCCAGAGCTATGTTAAGAGGCTTCTCGTGAATTTTCCTTCATACTAGAACAATCTTCACCCAATTACATGCCTTGACAATGCTTTCTCATCCTTTAAATTTTGATTTATGATCACCTCGTTCCCTGTATAGCATTAGAAATGTTTTCCCTTTTGGTGTACAACCCTTTATAGCATTTTCTCCATAGCACTGTAGTTGCCTATAGAGTTTTTTGCCTTCACCCATCATTAAGCTCCTCTAGCACTGGAAATAGATCTTATATTCGTTCTTAATATCTAACATGGTGTCTGGCACACAGCAAGGATTCCAAAAATGCCTGTGGAATGAATGAATACATGTATGCATGAATGAATGAATGAATGAATGAATGAATGATTTCAGCATATAACCAGACAGCTGTAAGGATACATGAAGTATAGATTTAGATATAATTTTGCAGAAGTCATGTTAGTAAACATTTACAATGTCTAATCTACATCTACAAACTTGGAGCCAGATGTGATTTGGAATTCAGAATTTTCCAAATTTTAAGAAAAGCAACCTAATAGGCTACCTAATACTCTTGGTACCTTCTGATCAGAAGCATCTGCATTTCAGCAGTAAACTGTATAAATATTCACACCTAATAGGGTAAAGCTTATGAATTACCTTATATCAGTTCAGATCAAGTTTTACCACCAAATGAATTTTCTGCAAAGTTTGAAAAAAACAATTCAGCTCCGTTTTCAGAGCTCTTTGGATTGGAGACTATGAATAAGGGATTATGGGGTTTATATAAATTGCAGTTTATGCTACTTTGGATGACCAACATATCATCCTGTGCCTAAAATGTCGGGTTTGGGTTACTCTGAGCCTTTCAAAATAAGCGGATCTTCATCTGCTTACAGATTTGCTTCATCTGTTCATTAATGCATCTGCTTCATTTGTTCATTGATTTAAAGAACTTGCTTTCCAGTTCTAGAGATGTCCCATTGTTCCTTCAAACTCCCATCCTCAGGATGGCAAGGGTGGGGGATAACTTTGGTGTGCTAAGTGTAACATTTTACCTACCAGCTTTTTCAGTCTGAAAACATGACTGTTTGGATCTGTACCACGTGTGTGTGTGTGTGTGTGTGTGTTTCCTTCTCTTCTCATCTAGAAAACTACAACAGCTGTCTAATAGTTCCCATGCAGGGAAACTACCTCATCTCATAGGAGAGGTCATCTCCAGAGAAGATGGGTCCACCATCTCAGAATTGGTAAGACAGGTTCCACGATACGAGTCAGGCTCCATGCTGGCTCTTGCTGAATCCATTTGTCTTGGGGGCACTCACAGTTGCTGAAATGCTCTTGATTCAAAAGACCATTTAATAAATCCCATAAAGGGTCATGTTACTCTACATTCTAGGCTCTGAAAATAGCTTCACCCTGCCATATGATGGTGCTATGTTGCTACCCATAAGAGATTTTCCTAGAGGGAAAGCAGTGGTTGCCTTGCAGAAGCTGGGAAGACTTTAATAGTGAGGACACAGGGGGAGAGCCTCCCCCCGGGAAGGGGTCTGTGGCTTTAGCATGAATTTGCTTGGTCATCAATCACATTAGATTCTTTGTTTTCCAGGCTTATGAATGAGATTGAATATTGCCAGGTCTCTAGATTCTTAGAGTTAGTGATTTAAAAGAGTAGATTTTAAGAAAAAACTTCCATCACAGAATGTGTAAAATGGCACAAATTCAATCTGTAGTGCTGAGCTCATTGGACCAAAAATGCAGTCTCCTTCTTTTCTGGGCATCTCAACATCAATATCCTATGTTCTTCAAAATGTTGATTCAATTGTTTCACTTCCCCATATGGGCCAAATTAATATCAGAGAGAAAATAGTTCTAATTAGGTGGAGAGCAGAGATTGGCAAAGTTTGGCTGGCACTCTTCCATACCATGGAGGCGCTTAATATTATTTTTAGAATGGACTTCTATCACATATACTCAGCATAGCCCTATCTGAAATGTCTCTGTTTGTTTTCACAAACACAGTTTCTTTTTTTCTTAGCTCACCAGCTGTTTTGTTCTCTTTTTTTCTAGAGCTATAAAAAATTCTGTGCCATTCAAAGATGTAGATTCAGACAAATACAGTGTTTTCCCAGTAAGTATTGTTTAAAGTAACCAGATGTTCGCTGACTCTTGTATCGCTTTCTACAAATATCTTTCCTTTAATAAGACAAGACTGAATTCCATTTGAGTGTATTAATAATTTGATAATACACCATCCCGTGATTTTTTTATGGACTTTTTGGCATCTTAATAATACATGAATCATCAGAGTGGGTCTTTAGCCAAGACTGTTTTTTGTTTCCTGAAGCCATTCTCAGCTGGGTATTTTCAGTCGTCTTGAAAGGTGTTGAGAATTATTTTGGAAATTTTTAAACCTACTTTTAGAGTGCGTGTGTGGTGTTTATGTGAATGCACACGTTTGATTTAGAGCAGTAAGGAAGTCAGGATGTTTGCTGCAAAAGCCAAACAAGCAAGCAGCAGATGCAACACCCTAAAGTTGGTGGGACCTCAGATATTCCACCTGGAAATGGGGGGAATAAAATCATCGTTTGATATCATCATGACTCTTGATTCTCTCAAATGAAGGATTAAGACCGGTTAATCGTATGATAAGTCCACATAATTAGCCGGCTTTGCTAGAGACTTTTAAATTGTCCAATACAATGATTAATCATATGACCAAATAAACCAATTGTTTTGAAGGCTATGGAGATTGATAATTAATAAGTAATTACCAATTATAAATTCATAACTGATAAAATTCAGAGTTGGATGTTCCTGCTGTTTGTGAAAGTGTACACACACACGTGAACACACACATATACAGATGCACGTATGTGCACGCGTATATATACAGCATGCATGCACATGAGCACACCTGTGAGTGCACACACGCCCACATACCTACGCATTCACGTGCAGATACTGCTGTGCACCCACGTGCAGGCACACACCCAACAGCATATGTACACACATACACATACACTACCACCTGGCATGGGCGCCGGGACTCCATTACATGTTACCTCATACAGCATGTCACAGCATATTAATGTTAGTTTTCTTAGTAATGTCTAGTGTTCCTAGATGGTGTGGGAATTAAGAATTGCACATGTCTACCCCTCGGATAGCTCTGACTGCCCTTCCCCATGGGTAACAACAGGCGGAAATGAACCCTTCTTGCATGTGCTCTTCCATTCCAGACACTGAGGGGCTACCACTGGCGAGGAAGAGACTGCAATGACAGCAACAAGATGGCATATCCGGGCAGAAGGTACTTCTCCGCTGGTCGTTGATTTGGAAAACTACCTTCTTTTTTTTTTTTAAGACTTTATTTATTTATTCATGATAGTCACACACAGAGAGAGAGAGAGAGAGAGAGAGAGAGAGGCAGAGACACAGGCAGAGGGAGAAGCAGGCTCCATGCACCGGGAGCCCGACGTGGGATTCAATCCCGGGTCTCCAGGATCGCGCCCTGGGCCAAAGGCAGGCACCAAATCGCTGCGCCACCCAGGGATCCCGGAAAACTACCTTCTAAAAAGGAGCCAGGAGGTCTCATTCCAGTCCTAGCGTAGGGGATTTGTACTTACCGAGAGAAGGGACCTCCCTGTCCCAACTGCAGTAAAGCTCAGTGAAGAAAGAACAGATTCATTCATTATTTTTGTCCAGGACACACTTGTGGAGCAACTGCTAATTGCCAATCACTCTGCCTCGTGTGGGGCAGTTAATAGACTGGAAGTAGGGCCTCCTCTTGAGGAGCTTCCAGTCTAGCAGGAGGACCACTCGAGTCAGGTTATGGTGGGTGTGTGTCCAGCCTCCTGCACAGGACTGAGCCCAGCAGCAGCAGCCCCTCCCCTCCAGGGTGAGGATGGGGCTCCCTTGCTTGGGCCGCATATCACATTTCAGTCCCCGGCTGATGCTCTACAGCCACATCTCAGACTTCAAAAACTGGATATGCCAATCTTCATCTTAGCTGCGCCTGCAGTGCCACAGCATTCAATTTACCAGACGTTTGGGATTTGAGAGGCGTAAGTGCAATGGCTTCACCTACCTAAATGCAGTGGCCTACAGATTCCTTCACTCTGCTCACCGTCAGCACCGCGCCACAACACCGCCCATGAATAGAGGCCACTGGATTTGGTCCACGTGCCCAGAAAATATCCAAAACTGAGATAATGGCAGAGGCCAAGTGGAGGCTTCTGTGTGCCACTGACAACAATGTGTGGTGCTCTGCCTTGAAAAACCTGTTGTCCATCAATGACGCTTCATATACCACTCGTTCATTCATTCATTCATTCATTCATTCAGCTAACATTCACGGGGCCCTAAGTATATGCTAAAGACCAATGTTGATGTTTTCTTCTTAGGCCAGTCAACTGGGATATACATGAGGATTCAAACTGTAATGGCATTTGGGTAAGCAACTAAATTCAAATTTAGCCCCGTTCTCTTACTTTCTGCCTTCCTTAAAAGCCTATTTGCTTTACTCAAACCTGCAGAAGACAGTGACAGATCAAAGCAACCTTTTTCTGCAGTGTGGAAGAGGGGCATAGACTCCAATCTCACATGACGGATGTCAGGGATGTAATGAGAGTTGAGGGTCTGTCAGTCACAGCCTCTTTAAGTCACCCACATCTAACCCCTTTGTTCTGTGTTGAGTCAGGCGAAATTAAATTAAGAGTGCCACTGGCAAAGTTTTACAGCGACCTACACAGCTGTTGAAGGAAACCTCTCACCGCCGCCTCTTCGTAGCAGCCATTTTCTTTCTATTCCAGAAAGCTAGTTGGGCAGAGTGGAAATTGCCTGTAGTAACCACACTATCCACATCTCGAGGTATTTAATGCTGGTGCTCCAATCCTCCACGAATAGCAGATTTGCAGCTTCCAGGGAGGGAAAGGGAAGAAAGGAGGAAGCCCAACCAAGCGCTTATCCGAGGACAACAATGACAAGCAGACCCATGTTTTGTGGGGTCTTCAGCATATATGATTTGAGGGTCTTCCTAAAGAAAAAGAGTACCAAATTACAAGTACGAAATCAAGTATGAAAATAAATAGCCGATTAGAGCAATAGGAGAAATCCCAACAAATTAGTGGAGTCTTAGAAATTCAGGTCCCTTGAAATTGTAGGATGTGCAGCAGCATCCTTGACCTCTACCCACTAGATGCCAGTCGGTCCTCCTTCCCCTGTTGTCACAACCGAAAATGTCTCTAGACTTTGCCAAATGTCCCTTGAAGTAGGTGTGGGGGGAAACTAGCCCTGTTGAGAATTGCTGCTCTGGAGGCATCCATCCTTAGGAAGTGGAGATGTCAGGACACTCAGAGCTCCAGCTAAAAGACTGAGGAGCACACTCTGACCTTGCGTCCCTGTCATGCACTGGGCCTACAGAGCCCCCTCATGGTGACCCTGCCAGCACTCGAGACACTGCCCTGCACCTCTGGACCGTCCTTGGGTTCTGGATCTCTCCTTATTCCTGCCCCAACTCCATAATGCCCAACTCACTTACACAGTGTTGCTATGTTGAATTGAGAGCATTTAATAGATTTTATCCACTGGTTTGCCTTTGTACTTTCAAAGCCACAAGGGAAGGAAGGCCTCAGCGTATATGTCTCATACATTAAAAAACAAATTACTAATTTCATCATTTCTCTTTCAAAGGGTGTCGATCCAAAAGATGGAATTCCATATGAGAAGAAGTTCTGTGAAGGTATGAATTGTAGAATGAATATGCTTATCACAATAGCAACACTTTTTTCTAGTCTGAGTCAGATTGAGGTGAACAGACCACCTGAGTGAGGAAGTGCCTGACGCTACAGCTTAAAGTTGACCAATTTCCATGAAAAATCAGAGAAAGTCATGAAAAAGCTTGTAGAAAATGGAGGCAGAATCTAGAAAAAAAAAAAGCAAAACTGAATTTGTCTGACTGACTCCTTTATGTGGGGATTGGAAATTTGAATGATGATGCCAGAAAAGGTGGCAAGATAGAGCACAGGGTAACGGAAACCCAGTGCTTCTCCAAATAAGAAAACAAATAGAGGCGCTCTTGTTGCATCCTTCTCCATGTCCTTCTCAAAACACTACAAGGTCAGACATCCAGGCCTATACTGACAGTATCCATGTGACAACTGGGCTAAAGATTCCTATCTGGGTGACTTGAAGGAGTCCTCCAAGTCATAGCCATTGGGAGTTCCCAAAAATAGCTGAGCAAAAGCTCCATATTCTAAATGCCCAAATGCCACAGACATCTGAGCTTCCGGTACTGTTAGGAGAGACCTACAATCACCCACATACTACTGAAAATATGCACCTGGTTGTACCCAAAGGGTCTCTGGTAGCATTACGTTTAGGCAATGCTTTTCCCTAACACTGGAAAGCATTTCAATCATTCATTCATTCACCCATCCATTCATTTGACAGATATTTCCTGAATGTCTATTCCTATTATGAACCAAGAGCTATACTTGGCTCTGAGTAGTCCTGGGCAGATGTGATATAGTCCTTGCCCTCAATCAACCTAGTCTAATTGTCCTTAAACTCTCAGAGGGGTAGGGAGGGAGTAGAAAATGCACAGATCTAGTGCAGAGTTATGTAGTTTAGAAATGCTTGTTGGATGAATAAAAGAATGAACGAACAAATGGCTGATAAATAAATAAGTGAACTCGAAACCAAATGAAAGATCCTGGTGTGAGGATCTGGGATCACCATGGGAAGCCTCTTGGACTCCCCCATCCCAATCTCTCCTGGATGTCCTGGACCTTCTCAGTGCCCGTGTATGTGGCCAAGTGCTAACTGTCATAGAGGCCCAGGATAGGGAGCTACTGAAATGAGTCCAGACTATCCTCTAGCATGGTTTCGGGGATTTGGGTCTAGGGGAAAGAGGCACTTCTCTGTGACTCTGGAAGGCATCGACTGTTTCTTTCGGGATCTTAAGGGATTTAGAAGAGTACATGCATCACCCGTGAGTAAATGAATTGTGTAGATGGGCCTCAGAGGCAGGTTAAATGATTCCTAACCTCCAAATAGGGCTGCACAGAGACTTTTATATGTTCATCTCCTGTTAATCAGCCAGAACTGTCCATCCAGTGCTTTTGTGTATATGGATTAAGGGCTTTAAAAGACCGTAACATCTTCGAAAAGTCAAAATTGTTCCATGAGATCATTAATTCTTAAAGTGAATTACAAAAGAATTCAAGAAAGTGATTTCCAAAACCAAAATTTAGGGCATATTTCTCAGTTCAGATAAAGTTTTGATTCATTTATTCATCCATCATTCACTCATGATGTTGCATAGCAGTTTGTTTTATGCTGAGCGAGGAAACACACCTGCATCTATATGGCTTAGCTAGCAGTTCTGATGGCCTAGAAATCTCATTCAGCTCCTAAATGCGATCTCCCTCACTCCCCAACACTTGAAGAGTGGCAATGCATCACTGTTATGATGCTCTGTGCGTGGAATACACACCAGGGTATCTGCTCTCCTAACCACCCAATCTGGAGGCCCCAAACTACTTGAGTGCATAAATAATGCAAATAAATTGTGCCACCCAGGTTCACAGCCCAGGGGAATCATTTTGCTGGGAGACTCAGCTGGGGCTCATTTTCACATCTCTCCCGAATGGCTCACAGCTTCACAGATGTCTTTGGTAAGTAATTTGGGCAGTAATCATCTCGGATGTGCTGGCCTTTGCGTCTGTTCCCCCCTTGCTCTCTCTAAATGTGATGCCAACTCCAAACAGGTGCAAATTTCCCTCCTCAGCAAAATCTGCTATAAAAGGCACATCCACAGCCATTTCAGCTCGGTTCATTTCAAACAATATAAGAAATGTGAGGGCATTGTCACAACAAGCTCATAACAGGAACAATCCTGTCCATTACAGAAGGGAAGAGGGTGCACCTGCCGGGTGGAAAGGAGACTTGGGTGCAGCAGGGAAGCCCTTGTCATAAGGCCAACCTGGGCACAGTTCCTTTCTCCCTCTCTGAGAATCCTGAAACTCTGATCCAGAGAAATCAAACTACAGGTATTATATATTCTTCCTTGACCCCTTCTTCTCAAACTAAAGAAATCAAACATAAACCTAAACACTTCGACTGAACCTGTCCCATGTCCCAAAACTGAGCAGACATAGACCTCCCTTTGTAAAGATGAGCAAGCAGGGAGACATCTGGACATATAAATAACAGGCTCCTACTCTCAAAAGAAGAATGCCCTTTTGAAAAAAAAAAAAAAGCATGCTGTAGAAGACAGAGTGGTATTTTGTAATCTATTAAATTCAGATTCTCAACAATAGTCTTCAGGAGATCATACTCACAAAAAAAAGGAGCAATCTGAGATCAAGAAAGACTGCTTTTGGGAGATAGAACCATAATCACCCGATGTGAAAAATCCAGTAGCAACACTGACGAGCAAGTTGGACAATGCAAAAAACAAGATGAGCAAGCAGTCTGCCAGCTGGGGAAATTCTGGAACTCAGATAAGCGTCACAAGCGGGGGGTTCTGGAGATTAAATAGGAAACCCAGAGCAGAGAACACATCAGGCAGAGAAGTAGTGGTGACCAAATAAACAATAAAAGATAACTTTCTTGAGTTGAGGGAATCCTCGTCTTCCTTCCCAAACCCACCCTGAGCATCCATCAAGCCAAAGTGTCAAATAGACTCTCTCTTGACCATTTCTTGCTTTTTTTTTTTTTTTTGAATTCTAAATTTAAAGAAAAATCTTGCAATCATTCTGCCCAACAACAGCAAAAAACAGGGTACATACTAGGAGGAAAAATCCTTTTGGCATCAGGCTTACTTCTCAATGCTAATTTTTAGAAAATAGTGGAGTGGCCTCTACAGGGTTTTGAGGATTGTATGTCAAAAATGCTCTGCCAAGATACTGTTTGTTCTTATACTCAATGCAGTGGTGACAGGTAACCAGGCTGGTCCATGTCCTTGTGCTTGTCCTTCTTTTCCCACACTTGGGGTCTCTGGAGGTTGAGGCGAAGAGTGCCTCTCACTTTGGGGTTCTCCCAGAGACAATGGCCTCTCACAAACTCTCACCAGAGCCAGCAGCTCCCTCTGCAGTGTGCTAAATCTTTAGGGAAGAGAAAGGTCCACCAAGAAGCCAGCCCAGCAGCTGGCCCCATCCTAGAGTCCTAACAATTGGGATTTGAGTTGTAACATTTCTAATATACTATTTCCAACAAATTAAGCAAAATACTGCAGCTCAGCATTTGTTGGTTTGGCTTTGGGTTTACAGATATCCCCTGCTTTCTGAAAGTTTGTTTCATGACACTTCATTTTTACAGAAGACCTATATAAGTCCCCTTTTTTTCCCAACCAAAAGAAATCTAAAGAAGATTTTCACTTTTATGAAAAAAGCTATTACCATACTAATGTAGGTCTGTCAGGAAAGCCAAGTGGCCTGACGCGAACTTTCAGAACACTGCTTTTAAATAGCCAAGGAAACCTGTATTTCCCATCCCACCACCCTGTCACTTTTTGGCAGTAAATAAGTAGTCCTGAGAAATGACCACGAGAATGGCAATAACATAGAGCGGATGTGGAACCCAAATTGGTCATAACGGTCATTGGGATTCATGAATCTCACCAAAATGTTATTTAATAATGCTGTTGATGGTAGTAGGGACAAGTACAGCTTTAGTGTCATTTTGTCACCAATTTCAAGACTTTGGTGTTCTAATGTTCTTAAAAGGTCTCGCCAGGTTAACATACTTCTCCAAGCTCAAAATTAATCCAGTCACTCCAAGCCAGGGCTACTTCTGTGTTCTGCCCTTTATAAGATGGAAGATGAGACAAGAATAAAAGAGAAATATTTTGCTTAGAAAGTTAGCATTGAAAATGAACATTTATCACCAAGTTATTCTCAAAATAAGGCTGTGCAAACCACCCCAAGTCTCAGTGACTTAAAGCAATCTTCATTTCTTGTCACTCACACATCTCTGTGTTGTCTAGGGTTAGCTATTCTAGGCTGGACTCCATTAGTCTTGGCTCCAAGCTAAAGTTTGGATCTAGGTCTGTTCCATGTGTCTCTCATTTTTCTTGGTTGGGCAATCTGTCCAGAAAGTATTCTTTTCATGGTAATGGCAGAAGTGCAAGAGGACAAGCTCTCCCACACAAATACATTTGCTGCATCATGTCCACCATCAATGCATTGGCCAAAGCAAGTCACATGACCATGCCCAAGATCAACAGAGAAGCAGGTATATTTACCCAAAGTGAGAGAGGGAAGAAAGTAAATATTTGCAATATTGTTTTTATCTAATTATAGGTGTTCAATACTCAATGGGGAAAATTAAGCAAATATAGAAATTATTAAGAAATCATTAAAATTCTCCTTAATCCTACCACCCAGGGAGAATCATTTTTAAATTTTGGAGTATCAGATTAGTTTTAAAATATTCCTTTAATATTATTCTTATTAGAAAAGAAGATATGAAGTCAATACTAGAACTAATTTTTTAGAGGTTAAAAAAAATCCCCACCATCTTGAACTTTTCTCAATATTTTCCACTCTTTTCCAGAACTCCACCTCTCTATGCATACACACAACACACACACACACACACACACACACACACATTATGTAATCATGAGAGTAGCAAGTATGCAGTTGGCATTTCTCCTTTTTTTCAGTTGGCACTAATTATAGTCATTTTTCCATGTTACTACTTAGTCTTTATATTCATTATATTTGTCGGTGTTCTATAGTATCCTTCTCAGTATACAAGCCATAATCTACTAAACCATCTGCCCACAACTGGATATTAAGCTGATTCATTTCTGGGCTACTATGGATCACACTTCTTTAAAAAAAAACATCATTTTTCAAACTATTATCTATAGAATCTCTTCATTTGCACAGGGAGTTAGCCTATGTATGAATACAATGCCTAGCAGACATCCATGAGATATGTTGAGCTCTGATGTCTCATATTTTTATTTTTTGGCCTTTAAGTGCTTGTGGCAAGTAAACAAAATATCACCAAATACTAACCTGGAACCTACTGTGTGCCAAGCTCTCTGATAGGAGCTAATGTCACAGAGGTAAAGGGGATAGAAAGAACCAAGTCTTCAGAGGGCTTCAGGCCTTGCGGGAAAATGCAGACAAGCAAATTCCAGAGCTGTTTGTGATGCATATGCACTCCCCAAACTCAAGAAAAGAGGGAGTTCAGGCAGTCTGGTCCTAGCTGGAAGAAGCTCCTAGCAGCAGAAAGAGCACACACAAAGGCTCACAGTGAGAGGATTCGGCATTCTAGAAGTCTACTGTGGCTGAACTGATGTGCATAGAGCAGGAAGTGGAGAAGGTATGAGAAGAGTCTAGAAAGGTGTTTGGGAGCCAGATCTCAAGGGCCCTTGAAGCCACATTAAGGAATTCAGAGTTTATCCTGAAGGCAATAGGAAGCCACCAAGTGGTTTTAAAATGAGAAACAGCAGCAGTCATATTTGAATTTTAGAAAAATCACCCTGATTTCAATGACAGAATGGATTGGATTGGGAGGAAAAACAGAAAAGTAGACCACCTAGGAGTTTATCTTCTAGTTAAAGTGCCCTAAACTAGAAGGGTACAGTGGGGAAGAAAAGAAATGGACAAATATAGACGGTATCTAGAATTAACAGTGGACATGTATTTTTCTCATACCCTTCCCACCCTGTGGACTTACAGCCAGATCCTGAAGAGACGACCCTCCCTGAGCTGAATGTCTCTCCCAGTTGGGCTTAACCCAGAGTTGTTAGGGCATCTCTGCATCTGGAGAAGCTACCTCACCAACTTCACCCCCCTAATCAGGATCTTCCCTGCAGGGTCTAAGCCAGCTTTTGGAGACTCTCCTGGAAGAATCTGTCTCCCTAAGAAACTACTGGTTCCTCTGGTTCTTCTGCACCATACCCCCAATCCTCAATAGTTATGGTAAACTTATAATTCATTGTCCAACCTGAGGAAACTGATAATATGTGAGAATAATAGGCATTAACCTAAACTGGCCAGACAAATTGGGATGTATGGCCACCCAACTGATAGCATGAGAGCCATGTGTGAAACTGACACCTTGACTCAAGAGCAGTGCCCAGAGGGGAGTTTCTAGTCCCTAAATTATCTCTATGTAAAATAATCTTGGACTTTGAAGCAGACCTAGGTTCAAATCCTAGCTTAACCACTTCCTGAATCTCTCTAAGCTTAATTCCCTCGTCTAAAGAATATAAACAATGATAGCAATCTCATCAGAAATTCAGGATGATTTTACAATAGGACATTTAAAAACAGACTATTTATTTCTACTTAAGTTTCGGCTGAGGCCCCAGGACAATGTGGGCCAACTATTCCCACCTTCTACAATCAAATATTAGAAGGACTTTAGCAGGACATGCACAGGAAGGGAGTGAAAATCATTTCTGCAACCTATAGCTTAAGGCCCACCTCAAAGGTCTAAGAGTTGAGACAGGGAATGGCTGGTGTCAGCATGGCAGTGGGGCTCAGCTCTCCCCTCGGGGGAAGGGTGGACATGCTTCCCCCTCAGAGGAGATGATCACTAACAGACTTGGAGAGGTGTCTCCGGAGACTGGGGTCACCGTGGCTGGTGTCCAACACTCTTGTGAATAATGTAAGGGTGGTGACTGAGGCAGCAGGATAGGAGTGTGTGTCTG